CTTCATTTCCCCCACCCTTCTGACTGAGCTGAAATCACCTCCTATACACCAAGGACCCCCCCTGCCCCTGTCTCCTATCTTACCCCCTTCAGTTCCTCCCACGTCTCACTCTTGCCCTTTCATCATTAGGACCATAGTTGTTTGTGAGAACCCATTGCCACCTCCTTCCACCATCTGAAAAAAGATTGATATTGAACGTGCTCCCCTTCTTTCTCCAATTTTCCTTAGATATCTAGGGTTCCCAGATGACTACTAAACCTCCCAATAAACCATTCGCATTCACCTATGCCCATTCCCACTATTGGCTCCCCAAACTTCATTTTCTATGCCCAAGTCAAACACCTCCAACTTTATTTCTTGCAATAAAACTACCTCTGGAGCAGTCTTCCTCAACATATTCCATTACTATAGCTCTTCTTCTTTCTTCTCTCAATCCCCGTACATTCCAGACGACCAGTTTCATTTTTAAGACTGATCCCAATCCCCTACTCAGCCTTGCAAATTTTATTCCTCATCAACTATATCATCTTCCCTCCCTTCACCTTCATCCCACACCTCTCCCCCTTCACTGGAAGTCTTCCTTTTATTTTGCTTCCCTTCTAATCTTCTCGAATTGTTCAATGGCTTTCCTCACTGCCCCTTCTCCTCCCAAAAAGAACAGTCTGAGAGCTTTGCCTATCTCCACCTGTCTTTCCACCAAACAGTTGATGTCCACCCTTCCTCTCCCTGTGTTTACTTCCCCTTTTTTTCTTCTTTTTCTTTTAGCTTCTTTCGGGTTTTTTTCTTTTAGCTTCTTTTCCTTCTCCACGTTTTTTCCTCCTGTTATAAATTCTGCAACGTTCCCCCCAGTCCTTTTCCTTTTCAAATTAGCTCCGTCCCTAACCACACCCTCATTTCCCTCCCCCGTCACACCTCCATTAACTTCCGAATCTCCCACCACTAGAGGAGAAAAAGAAGAAATGGGAAAAACATGGGAAGGGTGAACAGGAGGAGATTGAGAGTCCAAGCTTACCTCCTCGAGACGGATATCAGAGGATTACTTGTTTCTTGCTTCCTCCAATTCACCAAGGCCCCTGGTGTCTGTCTATGATATTCCAACAGCATTGGAAACAGGTGTTCTTGTGTTTTCATCTCTTTCCACCGCTTGTTGATTTCTTATCCTCAAAATTTATTGCTCTTTGGAAAGGGGGGGAGTGTGCAGGAGATGAGCTTTTGGACTTCTTCTGATCATTGAGTACACCCTCATTCACCACCGATGTCTCTGGGTGTGTGGCTGCCTCACTTCAATCTCCACCAATAAGGGGTCCTTTTAAACTTCCATCTTTCTGACTAGTGCTCTTCTACTCCCTCTCATATTTTATAACCACCCAGACCCATTCATTTTCCTCTACAGCCTTTGCACTTTTCGCTTGACTTGATCCCAAAGGGTTATTTACTCTGTTTTTTTTTTTTTTTTATCAATAAGGGTTATTTACTCTGTTATTCAACCAAGCGAGATTTTTTTCTATAACTACCCCTCCTCATTGAGTCTTCTTCTTCTTAAAAGCTCTTTTGAAAACAACCGACAACCAGTTTAGTTGGTGACCTCCATTTCACTCCTTCACATTTCCAGATCTCGCTACCCCCTTTTCCCCGTTACCTATTTTTTCTTCCCCCTCCCATCTGACGTTTTGCCTTCCTCCAAATCAATCTCCATTTCCGCCACCTGTTCTTTCTCCCCCAAGCCAACTAGATTAGCTTTGTCCAGTTGTGCATTCCTGTTGACAGAACTCACCACTTCATCATCTCCTCTTCCATTCGTCTGACCTTTCGACTCCCTCCTCCACTCCTTCTCAATCTGAAAGTTCCGCTTTCTCTCCTTTCCCTTCAATCCACAACCTCGATCTACTCTTCCCTCTTCTACCGCAACGTCTCTATCCAATATCATGTTATCTAATGGGGAGTTAGTCTCTTCTCGATGAACCAGAACATTAGCACCTTCAATAATCAGTCTCATGTCGTAGGATTCCCCTGCAAACTCCAGCACCATTCTATCTAGTATTTTGCCGGGGTCACTCACTTCAACTAAATCCTTGTTAAGTCAAGCTTGTCCCAAGTTCTATTTCTATCCAAACTTCTGTTAGACAGTTGTATGCCCTTAGCTTCAATCAGAATTATGTACATTATGAATTTATTGTAAATGAATAAAGTACACATTTGATTCATGTTCCTGTGGTGTGTTTTTGTGCAATACCCTTAAACTGGACACTTAATAAGACTTGTGTTAGTTTAGAATGTTCACAGCCATTGGGTAAGTCTGGGGAGATTTATCCTGCCAAGGCTGACACTGATGTGTGGCCAACTGTTGGGGTGGCTTGTCTCAGCTACCAAAGTGAGACCCGAAGCACATGCAGTGTAGGATTAATAGAACCTCTGAACCGGACCAGATTTCCAGTATTGCCCTGGACCTTGGAGATAGATGGGCAAAATTGGAAAGTTACACCTAA